TGACTTTAACTCGAAGAGGAAGACCTATGGACTTTTATTCTTTTAGGGTTTTTCTAGTCTCATAGAACCGTACATATGAGCAAAATACCAACAAAAATGGCGTGCATCAGTTGAGGATCTCATTCGCTAGTTATTTTAATGTTGACTTTTTAGGATTCTATTCTGTAGTCGATTGACTAATGATCAAGGAGCTAGAATGAAATGGACCATGCAAAAGTAGCCTTCGAAATAAGATGAAAAGATAACAGGTTAAAAGTAAAACTAATAACTGATCCGAAAGGGCTCAGAACTTTAAAAGTTAAAGTAATAAGGAAATACTATCTATCTAGGAAGAATCAGCGAGGACTTCACTCATGAAGTCTGAGGAAGTCCTGAAGTCGTTTGAAATGTTTTGAAGTCTCATGAAGTCTTTTGAAGTCTTGAAGTCTTGAAGTTCTCTATTTTTCCTCTGTCATGAAGTCCCATGAAGTCCGTGAAGGAGGGCTGGACAAGATCCCCCAAAATCGAGAAATTGTTCCATTTACAGCAGAAATGCTTCATCCCCCAAAAGATCAAGACGAAATGCTTTATTAAAACACTGCAGCCGTTGTATTGATCCAATTTTCAAGGAGAAATTCTTGATTCATTTCTCCCTTCATACGAAGAAGTCAAAAAGACTTAGATATCGATGATATTCCTTTTTCCCTCTAAGGAAACTTTCTAGTAGGAGTGGATTTTTCTCGGTAGAAATGTAATTTTTTCAAGAAGAAATTCTTCATCAATTTCACCCTTCGCAAGAAGAAGTCAAAAAGATTTAGAGAGATATCGATTAGTTTGTTTTTCCACTCTAAGGACACTTTCTAGTCGAAGCGAATTTTTCTCAGTAGAAATGTAATTTTTTTAAAGAGAAATTCTTCATCCATTTCTCTCCACCCAAGGAGCAGTGAAAAAGACTTAGAGAGATATCGATCATTTTCTTTTTTCACTCGAAGTACACGTTCTAGTAGAAATTGATTTTTTTCCAGCAGAAATGTAAAATTTTCAAGCAGTAATTGTTCATCCATTGCCTCTTTCATAAGGTGAAGTCAAAAAGACTTAGAGAGATATGGATCATTGTATTTTTGTAATTTAGGGACGAGTTGTAGTAGAAATGGGTTTGTTTCAGCAGAAATGTGATTTATTCAAGGAAAAGTTATGTCTGAATTTCTACCTTTACAAGTGGAAGTAAAAAAAAGACTTAAGTCGGTAGTAAATTTGTTACGCCTTGAGACCTAATGAGAATAACTAGGAAGAATAAGTTTGTTCCTAGGCAACGTGTTTGATGTGAGAAATAGTGTAGGCTTTTCTGCTGCGACTAGTACAAATGTAAATTGCTTTGGTACATTGGAGACGTTTTCGTTTCAATTTAGTTTATTAAAAGAAACTGAAATATATTATTTATAATTTTAAAGTCAAGATAAATGTATTAGAGGATTGCCTTGCGGTGAATCTTTATTCAGGAAAAATGGAGAACAACAAATAATGCATAGATTGATATAGTCGGTGGGCCTTCCACACCATACCACACAACACGGTTCTCTGAACATGTTTAACATATATATAGAGAGAGAGCAGGAGGCATGAAATGAGAGAGATATGAAGAAAAGAAAGACATGATCCAGTGTGTATAACAAAGGGAAACAGTGAATGTGATAATGAATGATATTAGAAAATAAAGAAAAGAAAAATAATGAAATGATCTGGGAGAAATGTGAATAAAATGAAACGCGGTGCCTGTATAAAATGAAATGTTTAATTTGTAAATATAAAATGCAATGGAATCTTTATCTTGTCACAATAAAGATGAATATATTTTGTATTTTTGATGAACGATGAATTAAAAAAGAAAAAAAGATTTCTGTTTGTGATAGTTGTTAGAATATGTGGATGAGATATGAAATGATGTGTGCATAAAACCTTATGTGTATACTTCATTTGTATGCGTGATACTACAGTCTTTTTTTAGCCATCGGTATCGAAATAAAAATAGAAAGTTTCAGGAAAAGAAATCTGTCTTTATTATTGAATTGATCTGTATTGTTTAAAAAGAAAGAATTCGTTTATCTTTATTTTATAAGATAAAGAATTTTTGTATTCTGTGTTTAAACAATAAAAATGTTTTCAGTGATTTAACTTTATTCTGTAAATGTAAATATTCTCTCACATGTTTTCTTTAATATAAGAAAAGAAGAAAGTTAAATTAATAGCCCTGGTAAACACCGATGACTTTGTGTTTTAGTCTGATGATATGTGGGTAACAACGGTGCTGATTTATAAGGAATGAAATTTTCGTTCAGACAATTTTTTCTTTCCATTTCTGCTTGAAAAATCATTTCTCCTTGATAGAAACAATTTCTGCTTGAAAAAGCATTTTTCTTTAAAAGAAACGATTTCTGCTTGAATCGAAATGCATGTAGAAGAACAGAAAAAGATACATATATGTTTATATTCGTTCTTTCCATTTCTCCTTGATATGTATGACTTTATGTGGGATGAAGCATTTCTCTATAAACGGGAACAATTTCCCCATCGACTGGTCCAATTGTCCACTGCTGCCGTGAAATCGATGAAGTCTGTTGAAGTCCTGTGAAGTCTCATGAAGTCTCGCGGAGTCTTGTGAAGTCTTTAGAAGTATTGTGAAAGTTTGAAGTCCCTATGGTTGAACTCCGTTGAAGTCTTTGAAGTTTTTTGAAGCCATCAAGTCTTGAAGTCCGCTGTTTCCCTTTGGTAGACGGCTTTTAGAGGTTAATGGATACGTTGCCTCTAACAAACGATTATGCCAAATTTTGTCCTAGCTTACATGAAATATGTGAGTTTCACATTTTAGCCTCGACAGAGCTGCTCTGACAAGCTTTTTTTTATTCTCTTATGGTTTATACATTATCGCTTCTTCTGAATCCAGAATCTATTCAAATTAGACATCATTAAAAAAAAAACTTGTCTACTGTAAATATAGGTCATTTTAGTACTTTTTCATATCTCCATTGCTCCATCAACCAGTCGATTTTATAATTTGATTTATTATTGTAGTATATCAATAAATCTCCTTTATAAATAGCCATTGCAACAGCAGAAAAAAAATGGTAAACAATAAATACAGTTTTGTTTTCTGTCCAGAAACTGTTTTCTACACCTTTCAATGGTACAGTCACAATGGACTAAGTTAAGTCATTCCTAAGTTCTCACGGGCTTTTTTGCCAATTGACAGAATGTTACGTGATTTTCTGTCAATTGGTAAAAAATTATTAAAATTGGCAGAGTGTTGGAGGCGGTTCTGCCAATTGACAGAACGTCATTGACAGAAAAGGGATCTCTGTCACTTTGCCAATACACTTTTCTGCCAATAACGTCCTGCCAGCTGGCAGAACCGCCTCTGACACTGCTACCCAGGTCGAGCATTCTGACGGCCCGATACGACCGTATACAGCCGTTTACGACGCCGTATACCGCCGTATACAGCGAAAATACGACCGTACACGGCCGTATATACACCTTATTTCCATGGACCGTATTACGGCCGTATATCACCGCGTCGTATACGGCGAAATACGGCAGTATACAGCTACCGTATACTGCCGTATTTCGCTGTATACGACACGGTGATATACGGCCGTAATACGGTCCACGGAAATACGGCGTATATACGGCCGCGTACGGCCGTATTTTCGCCGTATACGGCGTCGTAAACGGCCGTATACGGCCGTCGTAATGCTCGACCTGGGTACCTGTTACTCGTTTCCATCCAACATTACCTACCTCTTAGTCGATTTTAATCCATCATTACCTGTTAATGGTTTCCATCTAGAGTTACCTTTTAATCAATTTTTATTTATTACTTACTTCATATCGGAGATAAGCGCTTTTCGTGAGATTCGAACCAGAAACCTCTGATTTTCCCATGATTTTTCTTGTTCAGAAACTATTGACTTACCACTGGACTAAATCAGGCAACCAAGCTAAAGTTGGAACTCCTATATAAATTGTTTCAAAATGGAGATGGTGCAATTACATCAGAAGCCGATTGAAATCGATTAAGTCCTATATTATGAGAGTACCCTTAGGTCCTCAAGTCCTATATTATGAGAATATCCTTAGGTCCTCAAGTCCTATATTATGGGGTACTCCTAGGTCCTCAAGTTCTGTATTATGGAGGTACCCTTAGGCCATCAAGTCCTATATTATGGAGGTACCTTAGGTCGTCAAGTCCTATATTATAGGGGCACCCTTGGGGCCTCAAGCTCTATATTATGGAGGCACCTTTAGGTCCTCAAGGGTGTGGGTGTGGGTGTTGTTTGGTGTGGGTGTGGGTGTGGGGTGGGTGTGGGTGTGGGTGGGGTGTGGGTGTGGGTGGAGTGTGGGTGTGTAAGGAAAAAATACTAACGCCAAGCACACCCCACACCCACACCCACACCCTCATACGTTTTCTGCTTTCTCTTATTCGAAAGGTTTTAATACAAAATTTTTTTTTACACCGTAAACAAGAAATTTATTGTTTCTTATTTCTTTTAAAATTAGAATTTGTAAAACAAACGAAAATTGGCACGAAACTTTAAGCTACTGAGTTAAAAATTGAATAAGTCGAGAGTACAAGCCAGAGATGTCCATCGCGGCTGAGAATTAGCCGCTGCCGCACCGCCGTCGTTTAAAAAACATGGTGCCGCGCCGCGTTTGTCAGAAAAACGAAAGCTACCGCACCGCGTCCACATTGAAATGTAACGCGCCGCTGCCGCGCCGCGGCTTACTGGAAAAAAAATCTGCCGCTGCCGCGCCGCCGCCGCATCACTGCCACGACAGTACAAAAAATACAGTCTAGAAAATGTGTTCGTCTCTAAAATAAAAAAAATATGTATTATAAAGTTCATGAATTACTGCACCAAATGCAAGGGTGAAAAACAGATCCCGATAGACTCTATGGATCTTATAGATTTCTAAAGAATATTAATAGAGTGTGTAATAAAATTGTCTGACTCTTCAAAAATCGATCAGAATCCACTTAATAAATATTCATCATGAGGAAAACTACAAAAGTATAAAAACAAATTTATTATATTATTCAAAGATGTTAAGTAATGAGCGATGCAAAAGTTTTTACACAAATCTCAAATCCTGTTAGACCATATTACCAACTTCTGAATCAATCATTTTTTTTTGTTAGAAAGAGCAAAGTCTGAACTACAAGTTTTGTATCAGGCATATTTTGCCAGAACGAATCTGAGACGGAGGAAAAGCCAAAAAGCAAATACCTCTAAAAAAGTTCTTGCAACGCCTTTTGCAACTTGAAAAGTCTGTATTTCTCAATTATTTTAAGCTGCATAGGTCAAATTTGAAGAAAACATACATCAAAATGTAGCACATTAAAAACTCTATAATATCAGCTTTGAGACACATTTTGGGATCCATTCTTGACTTTTTAATCAAACAAGTTTGAAACACGAAATTTTTGCAAAATTGAGCCTTTTCAAGAACTATCAGTTTACAAAAATATCAGCCATCATCTCCAGAAATCATGCATGAACTGAATTCTTTTCGCGTTATTTGGTCGAAATATATCTAATCGTAGAATTTTAGCAGAAAAAAATATATTCAAAAAATATTTTTTATCGATGTAAAACGATCAAGTAGTGAGAACGACCAAATGACTCAGTCTCTTTCAGAAAAGCTATTTGTTGATACAAAACTAGGAATAGATTTAACTTCCAATACATCATTAGAAAGAGCACTATTTTTGCTACAAAAACATCATTGAACGTTTTTTCTCACTCCTCTTCTAATATAAAAAGAAACTAACAGAAAATAGAAAATGATGTTGCTCGATGGTGAAGTTGCAAGAACTTTTTTAGAGGTGTTTGCTTTTTGGCTTTTCCTCCGTCTCAGATTCGTTCTGGAAAAATATGTCTGATAAAAAATTTGCAGTTCAGACTTTGTTCTTTCTAACAAGGAAAATTGATTAATTCAGAAGTTGGTAATATGGTCTAACAGAATTTGATATTTGGGCAAAGACTTTTGCATCGCTCATTATTAAAAAAA